AAATGATCCTTGATTTTGATCTTGACTTTCAAGAAGGGCAAGGTCATTGATCTTTTCTGTCGCTCATTATTCATTAAACAGTTATTAACGAAACAATTTTTATGAATTGTACGCAATTTTTTAGTACAAGATACACATATTTCAGCCTATTCTTTTAAGCTATATATTTATTTCCAGTATAGCTTTTCTAATTTTCCGACATTACAAATAGGCCCTTAAGGGGATGCTGGAGTGACAGCCGAATTTGATCGACGTCAATAAAACAGATTCTTAATTCTAAATAAAACATTACATACATTAAAAAAACATTAAATGAAACGTTAAGTACATTTCTTGCTCTCTATTATCCTATACATTAAAGTCACTAAATCTATAAAGTGTCGTAAATTCGCATTCATTTTGACGCTAACGCGGCCATTTTAAATTAATGGATTTATATACGTACTTTATTTGGAAAAATGAATCTATCAAGTATGTAAATCAATGTTTTTGAATTATAATTAGTTTATTTATGATCAAAAGAATATGTACGAATGTTTAATTTATGTGTTTTTTAATTTAATACGGATTTATTTGTTGTAAAAGTTTAATGCATAAAAGTGTACAAAGGATACATGTAAGTACAGTTCAGAACTGTTCAGGAACACGAATCATCACATGTATGATCACGGGCATCATCGCAAGAGCTTGAATATTTTTAAAAGATCATTCGGCCGGGACAAGGTTAGATTAGCAGCACCCAACTGTACTCAATATGTACTTGAAATCGTGTACTATGTGCACTTCGGCCATTTTGACGCATTAGTTCTGAAATCAATTGCGGTACTTTATAGATCTAATGACTTTACCTATACATCGCAAGAAAGCTAAGTTCTATACAGTCATGGACTAAAAGGTTGCAACACTTTTTTTCGATGGGTTTCGGAATACACCGAGCGATCTTATTTGTCGATTCATGAGTAAGAACCAATTACTCAGTGAGCAAGCTGCGTTCCGAAATTCATCGAAAAAAAATTGTTGCAACCTTTGCATACGGTCCCTGACCACTCAGATCGTACAGATCTTTTCAATTCATTTCTCTTGTAAACTTTAAAGTCAATTTGAAGGTTTCATTTATTTGGATATATATACTTGAATTTATTTATATACTTTATAATTTATTTATTTATTTATACAGGGTGTCCCACGTAACTGTGATTACGATTTTTCCTGTACTTCAGATGATCTGACAAAAAATATTGTTTTGAATAAAAATTAATCAGTTTCCAATCGACATTGTAATGTTAAAAATTTGCAAAAAAATTTTTAGATAAAAAGTAAAGTTCATTGATCCTACAGATCTTAATCTTTTGCGGTATCATATATGCATCACCTGATCTCTTGCCTTCTAATGACACTTAAACACCGTTATTATTGTTTTGTGACATTTTATTTTATATAATATTTTATTTTAATATGATCTTCAGACATTGATTTATCCATGAATCATTTAATCAAGTTATTATTTTAATCTGGTAATTTGTTATAAATAAAATAAGAGAGTAAAAAAAACCTGTTTTTTCAATAAAAATTCATTTCCGGAAAAAATTAATAATGAACATACTGTGGAAAAATTTATGTATACGTTCTTTGGGCCGCTGATCACGAATCTGACATTAGATTTTCGAAATTCAAAATGGAGGATCCAAGATGGTGGACCAGGTTGCTAAATGATTTGATCTGAAAGAAAGTAGGTACTCAGTCAGTTTTTGAAATCGCTAATTACAAATCTGGAAAAACAAAATTGCAAACATGACCGACAAATATTTGAAGTAATTATGAATTTAAAGTTAAAATTATACAATTTAAAGCGGTCAATCCATTGTGGCAATTTTTATTCTCGTTCTTGGCATAATCTGTAACTAGCAATGTGGAACGTAACGAATATAGAGTTCAATTTGTTTATAATTTTTTATTTGTTTTTTCCAGATTTGTGTTCATATATATGTGGACTTAAAACCAAAACAGTATATACATTTTTTAGCAGTATATACATTTTTTGGATCCGTCATTTTGAATTTTGAAAATCTGACGTAAATCAGATTCGTAATCTGCGAAAACCCCCGATTAACAAATTTCAATTCTACGTAAAGAAAAATGTATGCTTTAAAGAGTTAAGGTTATCTAAAGGTTATAGTAAAGCAGGTAATTAAATTTGTCTTGACATCACATACAAAATACTATGAAGTAAAAAACATGTAGTGTCATTAAAAAAAATTAAGATAACCTTTTATCTAAAAAATTTTTTTAAATTTTTAATATTGCAATTTGCCGATTGAAAACCTTAACTTTTATTCAAAACAATTTTTGTCACATCATCGGAAGTTCCAGAAAAATCGTAATCACAGTTATGTGGGACACCCTGTATATGATGAGATAATTTAAGTGGTAACAGGAAACTGTAATTTATAATTTTTTTTTGTTTTTTATATGGGTTAGTTTTCCACAGCGATTTGCGTTTTCCTTTTACTATAAAGAATTTTTTTTATTCTGTATAAGAAAAATGAAATGTACGGAAAAATAGGAAATTCGCGCCATCGGTAATCTTTTAAAAGGATACTGGAGTGACCAAATTATTGATATTACAGTCATATAAATATCTCCGAATTAACTGAACAAAATAAAAAATTTTTTTACAGGATTAAAGTAGAAGCAAAATTACGAACGATATCGAGTAGAACTAAGATTGAAGGTCTAGAAGAAAAGTATTTTCACCGAGTGGAAAATACGTGTATACGGATGCTTTGCGAAGACTAGGAAGAGTCGAATTTTCGTAGCAGTAGTTGCGCGATAGACATCTTGTGATAGATGATGCTGGCATATATTAGATAAGGACAGATATATGCGTTTGAGTAAGACAGAATGATATATTGGGTCATCTAAAAAGTATCCGCGGTTTTTTGTCACTAGATGTGTGTTGATGATCATATATCTAGTGACAAAGTACCGCGGATACTTTTTAGATGACCCAATATATTATATAATATAATGTAAAAAATGAATCAAAGATGTCACCACTATTATCGAATTTGAAATTAAAAAAGTCTGTACTATCGACCTCGCTCAAGTTCTCTAATCGATTTAGCATCTCCTTAAGGGAATCTTAAAACCGTCTGTATTACCGACCAAACCATATAATTTTTGTATAACTACTTTTTCTTTTTTTACAGATTCGAAAGTCCTTTTCTAGGATTAAATTATACGCATTAATATGTGTCTGTGAGGTAAAATTTATATCGAGAAAAATTTCAAAATTAAAAAATTTTAATGCCATAATTCGGAAAGTTCTTATGAAGAAAAGGTAACCAGTATTCTGGAAACGTCTCAATTAGCTATAAAGATATGCTTTGAAAAATAGGGAGATTCGTTTAAGATTTTTGTATTAATTTTGAAAGCACTTTCAAATTAATATCATCATCTGATAACTTTTTTAACACCCTATTACTTTTTTGTTTCAAACATTTTTTAAATAAATCAATATTTTTTTTAAATATTAGTTCTAGAACTTTTACCATACACTCAATTTCTCGGAACCTATGACCTCCTGCCATTTTCTTTACATCTTATAACTGTTAACTTTTATTGATATCAAGGATTTTCATTAACTTATTGTTGTTTCATTAACTTACAAACCGGGATGGTCCCTTGTTAGACGTCTAAATAAAACGTTGTATAAAATTTATGACGTCTGTGAAGCTGGTACCTTCACTATAAAAAAAATTCGCCCGTATGCCATAATTAAATGCTAATTTATTGCTTTAGTCCCGAATTTTGTGCTTGTTTCCATTCGCAATAAATTAATTTCAAAAGTGAGGGTACTAGCGTAACGTGAAGTCTGCACCCTCACTTTTGAAATTAATTTTCTGCGAATGTAAAAAACCACAGAATTCGGGACTAGAACAATAAATTAGCACTAAATTAGCACTTAATTATGGAGCGAATTTTTTTTGTAGCTTCACAAATGTAAATTTATATGTGTATGTGTGCGTGAGATATTGATGTAATAGTATGTAGTGATGTGTAAGTGACATGTAAATCGTCTGTATATAAGTCCTACTTACACTGTGATTAATCGTGCTGACTATCCCTTAAAATGGCTGATTTTAATTCTATAAATACGACTAGTATACATGTGTGTACTAGTACATATGTGTGTGTATTTGCGCGCGCGCGTGTGTGTGTGTGTGTATAGGATGTCCGGAAAATAATCCGCAATACTTTGGAAATCCCCAAAAAAAGGAAATACTCAGGATGCATCACGCAAAGGACCGCTTGGCATCTTTTTGACAAAGTAAAAAACATTTTTAAATAAAAAAAAATGAAAGGGAGATATCAAGGCGACTATGGCTCCATGTGATGTATCTTGGTAACAAAATAGTCCGAAATATAATTATTTATGTTAAGTCACTATGAAATAAATTATGACTGCAATTATAAAAAATAAACTACAATTTTTTTTAACATAAAAGTGGTTATAACTCGGAAACGATTTATTTCCGGATATATATTTATATTTATTGTAGCTTTTTTCCCTTCTTTTTAGGTTCCAATCACTTCCCGTATTGCGAGCGATTTTCTGGACACCCTGTATATATAGATGCATTTTATATATTAAATTTTTGTTTAAAAACACAAATTCTCTACTTTAAAAATATAAATTTTCTGCTTGGCTAATACAAATTCTCTACTTTAAAACAAATTGTAAAAAAAAATTCTCTGCTTTAAAAATATATTATTTTCTTATATGATTTTTGTAAAGCAGAGAACTTTTGTTTTTAAAGCAGAAAATTTGTATTTTAAAGCAGAGAATTTGAGTTTTAAAGTAGAGAAATTATATTTTTGAAGCAGAGAATTTGTCTTTTTTTTTTTAAGCAGAGAACGTATTTTTAAGCGAAGATTTAATATTATTACATATGCATATACTGTACTAAAATTGCGTACAATTCATAAATTGTTTAGAATAATTTATAAAAATTGTTTTTATTAGTAACTTTTTAATCAATAACGAGCAAAGATCAATGGCCTCGACCTTTTTGAGGGTCAAGTTAAAGTCAAGTTCATTCAGAGATCATTTGGGGCTGACTGTAAAGCGAAAGGTTTATCTTAAAACGTTGTTGCAATTTTAAAAATATTCTGCTGAAAATGTTGAAATGTGTCATTTTTCTATCAATACAGCGATGTACATATAGTTGTTATTATGTATTATAACTGAAATCCCATAATATCGCTGTATGTATGTTGTGTTTCGTAAAGTTGCTACGTACATCATCATTATCTGGAAATGGACGTTCATATCTATCGAACTAAGTAGATTTCAAACAACTGTTAGGAAAGTTACAGCAAGACTTGCATAGCATTTCTAAGAACTTTCGGCACTCATATGTGTATATGAAAAACTTCCGTTTATAATTTTCTTAAATACTTTGCCATTTATCAATGTCCTACGACGAAGAGCGTGTCTTCGAGCAAACAAAACGCCAATTTATGGACTGTCGTTTATCGCATGAATGTTTTCTAGAAATTTATTCGTTGCCACCTCCAGCATCCGTCTCGCAGTCGCAAGATCTGTTAACTTCCACAACTTCCGGCACATCATTGTTTGTTGTATCATCCGCATTATTCTTCATAATGTATATCCTCTCTGCAGACTGTTCATCAATGATTTCGAGAAGTTGTTCCTCGACTTCTTCTCCCTTCTCGGACTTGTCGACAATTGACTCGTCTTCCGTAATTCCCGCGGGATCTCGTATCGTTTCTTCGCTCTCCTCCTGACCATGCAACGCCGTTATTACTCTCTGTTCGATTGTGAGCTGTTTCACGGCGTTTTCCAAATTATCCCTAAGAATATTTGCGTCATTCTCGCTCTCTTGCCACATAAAAGGCATAAAGATCATTCGAACGAGTTGATAAAGCCGTCTAAAACCCAGCTTCTTGTACAAGCTTTGACTAGCTTCATTTTCTGGACGTATAACTACAAACGGATAATACCCTTTTTCGGCTACGCGTTTTGTCAGGTACCTAAAATTTCATATACATAAATTATTATATATTTCAATTTTAGCGTGTGCATAACAATATCGCGATATAATATATTTATTATTAGGTGCGCAACTAAGTTCTCGTTGTTATTTTGATGAAAATGCCATCAAAATAACAGCGAGAACTTAGTTGCGCACCTAATAATATAAGCGAGTTTTCATTTATATAGTTAAAAACAATACAATTATTTTCTCTCGACTCTTTGATTAAGTATTATTATTATTATTAATTGCAAACACTGAATAGAATTCTTTTCTACCTTGCTAACTTTGTCCCATAACCCTTTCTTCGATATTCCGGCTTGGTCTGCATGGAGAACATAGCTCCATAATAAGATTGAACCATCCAAGCGGCCAAGCTATCCTTCACGAACACTCCCGCCGCAGATAGAGTCCTGATAAGTCGAAGAAAAATCTCGGGACATTCCATGTCATTAGCTGGATACAATTCGTGGATTCCTTCGGCATGTTCGGCTTTAAGAGGCCGCACCTGGACATCAGAGTCGAACTCTTTGTCCACTTGTTGACTCTCCTCTTCCTGCTCAAAATACTCGCACGCGCAGACATCGCCTACCACTGTCTCGATGGTGCCGGTACTTTCGTAAAGACGCGTTAATTCCTCAGCAATATCGGAGTGAACGAAATTAATGTACAAAGGTCTCGACCAATCTATCAGAATGTCTTCCTCTCGGAGAAGGCGAAGCAGGTTTAGTCGATCATTCGGACAGAAGACACCGACGCTCTCGTACATCAAACCGTGTGGCTGAAAGTATGACAGAAAATACAATTAACATCTCTGTGATACAGAAAAGAAGTTATGCTCGAACGATCTGGAAGATGGTTAAATTTTTATCATTTATTTACTGTTTGTTGTTACAATTTAAGAAATAAATTAAATGCTCTGATGTAGGCTAGTGATACATAAGTTTCATATATAGGATATTTGAAAATCTCCCGGATTCCTTAAATATCTTGAAAAGTAAGCATTTCTAAGAAAAATATTTTATACAAAAGTTGTATAGCTTAAAATGGTCTATTTACTAATCTTATCAATTTGATCTTACGTGGCGCTACTAAGGTCAGATCAAGGTCAAATCCATTTTTTTTTAAATTGAAACATCCTATTTTTTATTTTAGAATCTAGCTTTTACAATAATAACTGTTGTCAAGAACTTTTCAAAATACTATAATAAAGTTTTCCATTAAGTATAAGACTTAAGTATAAGTTATAAAATTTGAAAGTTTCAGTACAGCCGGCATTAGCACTACTAAAGGTGTCTGATCGATGATTAAAACTTCTTAAATATTGTTTAGGATCATGATTTGGATAACATTTGTCAAGATCAAGGCCATTGGAGTATCTCTTATTTTCATTTTTACATAAAAATGAATTTTTAATATAAAAATGAAAATAAGAGAAATAATCTCCAATTGGCCTTGAGCTTAACAAATATTATCTAGGACATGATCCTGAACAATATTTAAGGGAGGACATTCAAGCAAAAATCAACTATCAGTAATCTTTCATTAAAAATTTTGAAAATATGTGCTTTTATGTTATTTTTAATGATGAATTTAATAGTGTAAAAATAAATTAATAAAAATTTTTTTTTCATTTTTTTGAAAAAAATTTGACAAAAAATAATTAGTAATCGTAAAATCCATACCCTATTTGTTGGATATCCCTCACATAATATGTAGGAAAAAAATGAGTAAAAAAATTAAACTTTTCTCACTGTTATGAAGTTTTCATTGAAAAATAAACTTTTATTTTTTTAATGTCCGTGTATTTGATATTGTAATGTATTTGATTTTCACTGATATTCTCTTCATATAATATAAATATAATAATATAAATAGTCCTTGATCGCGGTCCGATTCACACTTCGACTTATGTGAACACCATTTGTATAGGTATTTGATAATCAACAAGGATGAAATGCTATAAACAGCACACTCGTATTATTAATCGTCTAACTGTAATCAGTTGGCTCATTCTGAATAACTGAAATTTGAAGCTGTTTCTGTGTTGCTCTTGTAATTGTATATTACAAATATTATGTAATTGTACAATAGATATATTTATTATTTATCAGTCGAAATATGTTGTAATTGATTTTTAATAAGGTAATTTATTCAGTTGTTCAGTCACTATCATTAATATTCAGTAATATCATTTTATGTACATTTATATAGTTATGTATTTTTAGTTCTGGGTCTGAAACTCTGGAAATATCACAATCACAGAAATATTTTTTGTTCCAAATCTTCATATATACATTTCAAAGTTATGTCTCGTCAAATTACAAGTGTTAAATATAGGGATATTGACAAAATAAAAATTTATTTTTTAAGAAAAACTTTAATAACATCGAGAAAAGTTTAACTTTTTTGAATCATTTGTTTTCTACATATTATATGAGGGATAACCAACAAATAAGGGTATAAATTTTACGAACTAATTATTTTTTGTCAAATTTAAAAAAAAATAGAAAAAGAATTTTTTATTAATTTATTTTTACATCATTCAATTCAGTGTTATGTTAAAACTAACATAAAAGTACATATTTTCAAAATTTTTAATGAAAGATTACTGATGTTTGTGTGATGTCCTTCCTTAAGAGGTTTTAGTCGGTTGAACACGTAATGTCGGCAGTAACTTCCAAGCTTTATAATTTGAAAAGTACTTAATGGAAAATAACTTTTTTCTAGTGCTTTGAAAAACTCTTGACATCAGCTATTAGATTCTGAAATAAAAAATAGGATGTTTCGTTTTAAAAAAATCGATTTGACTTTGGTGGTGCCATCTAAGGTCAAACTGATAAAATCAGTAAATAGACCATTTTAAACTATACAACTTTTGTATGAAATATTTTTCTCAAAAATATTTATTTTTCAAGATACTTAAGAGGTTCGGGACTTTTCGAATACGCTATATAAGGCTAAAATTTCATCTTTGCGAAATTGACTTTTAAAATCTAAGTTTTCAATAAAAAAAAATATCAGTATTTTGTTTGTAGTTGATTGCAGTAAAAATATTTTTATTTGTAGTTCCATGTATTAAAAAATATTAAATTTTGAAAAAATGACTGTCACCCGACTTTTAGATAAACAAAAAATATTAATGCATAAGGTAACTCCGGCAAATACGTCACGCTATTTAGGCCGCAGAAGTCAGAGAAAATAGAAGGAGGTAATTTTCCCACAACTACTCTGTTACGTGCCTTTATGTATTGTGTTATGATTTCAGTTTCTTACTGTTAATATTAATGAAATTATTGTGAGTTGAATCGATTTATCACTGTAATAAGTAACTCCATCATAAATTATAATCTACATAAACTTATACTGTAGGGCGTATAAAAAACTTAATGATTATTTCGTGATGCGTATAGTGGAATAGTAAAGCATGTTGTATAGCAAAATACAAGTGCTTTGTTTTCGTATTCTTTGTTTAGTTTATTGTCTTGTATATCCCACCTGTTTGGGATATATGGCATTTTTAACGGGCGGGATTTATGCAAAGTATACAAAATGCGCAGATTGAATTCAGTGCACTAAACACAATAAAGGCATTACATGAAATATGTCATAACACTTGTAATACATGTAGGAAGATTATAATTATTATTTATTACTTCACATACATATTTATCATTTTTATTTCTTAATAAAACTTTATAAATGTATTTTATTGTGTAAGTTATTGTGTCATTTTACCTCTTATTTATATGCATTATTTGTAAATTTTGTATGAGCCATACATACCCTCCCCCCTCCCTCTATGAATAGCCATATATCCCATCCCTATGGTATATACGGCAAAAATGCAAGAGTTTAAAAAAGTTCATTTTTTATTAGAAATACGAAATATAAATATTTCGAATTTCTAATATTTTTTTTTCATAATAGTAGACAGTACAAAGTTTTCACTGATATAGAGTTCGTTCACTTACCGTTTTTTAAACATAGTAAATAATACTTAATAAATTAAGTTTTTGATGTGTGCGTATATACCGAAGTTATCCTATTGATTCAGAATTATTTGTTGTTTGTAGTAATTTTCTGATTTTATTTTATAGTTGAGTCATTTAAAAGTTACAACAAATTAATGATAAACTAAAGATACAATTTATCAATTTTTAAGATACCTTAAATCAGCTTGTGGTATCTGAGTGAAATTTCATTATTACAAATTTAGAGTGTACATTGGCATTTTTTGTTTATCTCAAAATCGGATGAGTTATTTTTTTCAAATTTAATATTTTTTAATACGAGGACCTACATCAAATAATATAATGTTAACTACATTGAATTTCAAACAAGATACTAACATTTTTTTTAATTGAAAACTTAGATTTTAAAAAATTAGGTGGCAACTTCATAAAGATTGAAATTTCAATCCGTTTATATGTATTTCAATTCATGTTTAAATACGTATTGCAAACCGCAAAACACTCATGCGAATAGTCGCTTTACGCTAAGCCCGCAGTACAACTGCAGATCAATGCGGCGGGTGCTAAATGTCAAAGGATGCAGCGTGGTTCTTGGCGCGTTTAAAATTCGTGAGAGAATGTATTATGTACGTGAAACAAATAATCAATGAATTTATGTTGCTGCGGAGGTAGTAATTAACTAAAAAGTATTGATAAAATCATCTTGGAAGCTGTGGCATTAAGTAAGTCACGCGCCTCAGCGACGACAAAGCAAAGATGAAGGCGAAAATTTGGCGGACAGCCAAGCATACAGGTATAGGACCAACTCTTGTACTCCTATGCTGAGAAATGACGCGTCCGTAAGCACACATTAATGAGCTCTTAGTACTTGTGGCAACTTAGCAAGGCCATTCTTTTGATATTTAGCGTTTTTACGATATTTTCTGAATTAATAATTCGTCATAATGCGGCAATCGAATTATGCAGTTTCCCAATTGAGATAGTTCGATTTAGTTTTTTTTTTTTTAATACGTAGTATATGATAAATAATATAAATTAATTGAAATTGTGTTGAGAAGGGCTACGAACCCTAAGAAAAGCATAAAAAATATAATAAATATAATATAATTAATGAACTAAATAGTTCATTAATGCAGTTATCTGATATTTTTCATCCCTAAAACCTTAAAAAATTACATAAAAAGAGACAAAGATTAACTAAATTTTTTCTCTCATCAAAACGTTGTCTATAAAATATTTTGCGAGGATTATGATGCCAGTTATGTGAATCAAACGAAGAGAAAGTTAAAAACTAGATTACAGGAACACAAGTCAGATATAAAGAAAAAGACGGGTTCGCCATTCATTATCACGAATCATCAAATTAATTATATGAATTTAATTCAAATAAAGTAAGAATTTTAGATAACGAACCCTCCTACAAAAAGTGTTTAATATCTGAAATAGTTCACATAAAGAAACAAAGACAGGGTTTAAATAGGCAAAATGACACAGAATCGTTACATGAATCTTATCTTCTTGTTATACAATCTCCTTCCCCTTCTTTCTTTTCCCTCTTTTTTAATTACTCTTTCCCAGTTAATTTTTATCCCCTCACTTGTACCTTTAACATTTCTTTCATTTCTCAATATTGAGCTGGATAATAAAAACGTTTTATCGCAATTTGCTTCAATCTATAATGCATTTTTATATTTTGACTGATCTTATTTGTAAATATGAATATTAGAACACACTTTAAGAATTTTAAGGAAATTTTTAATTTATCATTTTACTTATTGTACGATCTAATTATTTTCATACATTTATATTTTTTTATCAATAGACATCAACTTTCATACATCCATATTCTTATATCAATAGATTGATTGTCTCACTATTTTTATAAATTTTGATTTCGTACTATTCCATCATGAATTAATTGCAATACATTAGAAACGAATAATCACTATTACTGTATACACACAATGACATTTTTCGAATAAGAAGTCTTTTGGATTCAATACTTTATATTAATATTGTAGAGGAAAGTCGCTGATACTGACATAGGTGTCTCCTAAAGTGACACCTTATTTCTCAGAAATTAACTAGTGCACTTTATTAATAGTACTAAATAAATACAAAAATAAAATTTTTACGATTTTCTTTTGCAAATTGCATAGTTTAAAATAATAGTGACTATATTATTAATAATATTACGTCATTTTAAATGCTTATAATTTCCTAAATCAGTTTTATTTGTATTATTTTTTCTCTTATTTTCAATTTTTTCATAATACGATTTTAAATTTAAAATTGAGGTACAGCGTAAACCGCCACACTTGTCACTTGGCTCTGTAAAACAGATTATGAGCTAACTTAATCTTTATAATGTTGCTTTATAGTGTCAAATAGCTCTATTGGAGCTGAAGACAATCGTGCATATATGGAAAAACTCTCGAAAAATTATCGTATTGCATTTTGCAGAACAGCATAAAATAAATATGCACATAATTTAATAAAAATATTTTATAATGAAGTGAAAAGATTCTGGAATTTTATATACATTCACTTGTAGATACTTTATACAGATAATTTCTATAAAAGAGAAAGAATAGGAATACTACCTACTGTGTCAGTTTTGGAGCCCATTTTGGAGACATTTTTGCTTACCTCACGAAAAAATTAATTATTGAAAAATTGCAAACAGTATTATAAAAACTGCTACTATCTGGAAAACACTTTTCAGTTTGTATACTTATATTTTTAAAGTTTTATTTTGATCTTTTATTTAAGAAATATTGTCTAAAAACAAAGTAGTATATCGGTATCGGTGACTTTTCTCTACAATACGCGCAATGACATTGTCGAAAAAGGAGTCTCTTGGACTTAATATCAACGTGATAACTGCAGGATCGAGCTACTAATTTATATATCCATCAGAAGTCTGTTTTTTTCTTCTTATTAGTTTTAGTATTAAGCCGTTTATAATTTAAATATGTTTATATCAATTGTTTATTACATGTTTAACACTGATAATGACCCGATCGAAGTCGAATCCGACGTCGTTTGTTAGTTTTATATTTATATCTTTGTTTAATTCATTAATTATATAATATTATACTTATTATATTCTATGTTTTTCTTATGATTCATAGCCCTTTTCAACACAATTTTGATTTTTTTTTTTAACTATTTACTCATACAGGCATATTTCGCAAAAAAATATATAGGCCATACGTAGATAACCCAAGTCTCACATGTTTCGAAATAAAGTAGATAAATTCAAGGAATAACTTTTAAAATTAGACAACTTTTTGAAGTACTTATTTACGAAAATCTAATTAAGAAAGGGAAAATATAATTAAATATGGAAATGTTATCTCAAATAATAAAAAATATTAAAAATCAAAACTTTTGTTTAAAATTGCGTCAGATAAACTTCCTTCTTCCTTAATCAAAACAGAAATTTAATTCATACTTACAGATAATGTCATTCCGGGAAAATGTAAGCAGATTGCATCCTCGGGCCAATTGTTAGCCACGTAGAAATGGAATTCCCAGACTCTGTCTTGTATATAAGTTAATACGGTTTGTTGAAACTGCAAGAAATTTATATAATTATTAATAAAATAGTTTTTTAATTAAATAACATAGTTATATAATTAATAAGTGATATGAAAATAATTAAATATTCTTCATGGAACATGAAATTGAAAGCGACATTTACATTTACAAAATAGAAGAGTTTATTTATATTCGCGTGCGTCAGCCTTAACAAAGCTGCCGTCTGAAATGAAATATATACAAGGTGTTTGAAATTTAAATGTCAAAACTTCGGGAGCGTATAGGCAATCGAAAAACTAAGAAAAAAAAGTCCTGTAGAAATACGCTCGTTTTCGCTTCGTTTTGAAGAAAATTGCAAAAAAGACAAAACGTTATTGCTTCGTTTTCGCACGTGCAGGAGTAGTATCTTAGCCACCTCGATTACCTGATTTGACACCACTGGACTTTTTTGTGTGGAGAACCCTGAAGCAGAAAGTTTATTCATCGTCAATCAACTCAAGAGGACAATTGAGAAATCGAATCGAGGCTGCACTACACCAAATATCATCAGATCAGTGTTTAGCTGTAATACGAGCTGTTCGTACTAGATGCATTGCTGCAAGAAGGTCAAAACATTTTGAACAATATTTATATTAAGCGAATGAATAAATACAATGTGAATAAGTAATGAGAAAGTACAAAAATGAAAACTACTTTTGTCTTTTTTGCGATTTTCTTCAAGACGAAATAAAAATGAGAATACTTCTACTAGAATTTTTTTTTTCTTTCGGAAGTTTATCGATCCTCTACACGCTCCTGAAGTTTTGACATTCAAATTCCAAACACCTTATATAGATTACTAAAACAATACAGGCGCGCGCTATTTATTTAATTTCATTATACATGAAATATATGTATAATTATATATGCATATATATATACACACTCATCAACAAAATTATCGTATAGGTAAATTTATATTAAATTTATATTTGCATAAATTCAAATAGGTGTAACTCCGCGAAAAATGGTCGCATTTAATAGTTTTTTTTTTCATTTTCAAGAGTAAAGTCTGTACTTTGCGAAGTTTTCAATAGATTTTGAATCTATCCTAACCTCTACCTGGCATCTTTTAAAAAATAAGGACGTGTTCTTAAGAAATTTGCATAATTTGACGCTCTCTACGGGATGGAATAAATTTTTCTCATAAATGTCATAATAACCGTTATAAAGTATGGACTTTTCTCTTATAAATTAAAAAAAAAAAATTAAACTTTGTACGATTTTTTTTCGAGGAGATACAGCGTATCAAACTTACCTATGTATTTTATTCAATTATTGCCAGCATTAGCGTTACTCGATGCGCATCACGAGGAGGTTGCTGGTTTGATTTTGCGCGCGCGCGTATGTGTGTGTATGGAAGGAGGGAGGGGTGAAAGTATGTGGATGTATATTTGCTCTTTAAAATTGTACATTTCCGTTTCGTCCTCGGATAACCTCTTGTAAACGTGCATTCATGCAAGCTTTAATTGAAGCCTGAGGAATTTCTCATCATATTTGATGCAATGTTGCTTCCATTTGCTGCAGATTTGTTAGCTATTCCTATAATCTTCGTAGTCTTCTTCCTATCATATCCCATACATGTTCAATGGGATTTAAATCTGTGCTCATTAGTGAATGTTTTATCCTGATGAAGGCTAATGCTCGCCCACATACTGCCAGAATTGCAATTAACTTCCTCGAAGAAAAGAACATCGAGATGCTACGATATTCACCAGTGAATATGGATTTGAATCCCATTGAACATGTATGGGATATGATAGGAAGAAGACTACGAAGATTAGAGGAACAGCTAACAAATTTGCAACAACTGAAAGCAACATTGCATCAAATATGATGAAAAATTCCTCAGGCTTCAATTAAAGCTTGCATGAGTGCACATTTATAAGAGGTCATCCAAAGACGAGACGGAAATACACAATTTTAAAGAGCAAATATACCCACATATCTTCATCCCCTCCCTTCCGCCATACACACGCACAAACGAATCAAACTAGCAACCTCCCTGTAGTGCGCATCGGGTAATGCAAATGCTGGTGGTAATTGAAAATGCATAGATAAGTTTAATACATCGTATCTCTTCAAAAAAAAATCGTACAAAGCTTAATTTTTTTCTTAATTTGAAAGAAAAAAGTCCATAGTTTACAATGGTTATCATAACATTTACAAGAAAAATTTACACCCCATAGAGTGTGTCAAACTATGCAAATTTCTATTTAAAAAAAAAATGATTTTTGAAAACATGACAGGTAAGGTCAAGGATTCAAAATCCATTGAAATCTAAAGTACAGACTTTATCCTTGAAGATGAAAAAAAATCTTTTAAATGCGAACATTTTTTGCGGAGTTGTGCTTATTTGAATTTATGCGAAATTTTGTTATTTTACCTATGTGATAATTTTTTTGACGAGTGTACATACACACTGGACTACAAGCAAAAAAAATTTTTTTGAATCGACCTCTCAGGTCAAAAGCTTTCATTTCGAAACAATACCCCTAAATTTTATTTTAAAATTTTTAGATTTAAAGGTTCACGCAAGTAAATTTTTAAATCAAAGTTTCGATTTTCCTACATGTTTGATTTGATGCAAAAATCCGGATTTTAAATGTGATACTTTATGTTTTTCTGATTCCTACGATGCAATAATTCATTTAGTTCTACGATATACACCTTAAGAAATACAACCCGATTAATGTGACGAAAAAATGACCAAATTTCGAGTTTAAAGTCAATGTTAGCAACGTTCTAAGCATTCAAATGGATCATCACTTCCCTCAAATTGTAGGTCTGTTTACTCAGAATAAGATTTCTCTAATTGAAATTTTCCCAGGATCTTCAGGGCTTTAAAAGTTGCATTTAACTGGATTATATAACATTTTTAAGGATAGAAAAAATTTTTTTACAAATTTTAAAATATATCGCTTTGTGGTTTTGACATCCTCAAATTAAATGCCTCAATTTGACAATAAAAAACTCTTTATTAGAAAATGAAATGAGTACATAACACAAAAATATGTGATTTAATTAATTGAAATAAACTACATATACTAAATAAGGATATAAGTCTCCCACCATGTTCAAAAGAATAGAGCAAATGTTGAAACAATTCGAAAAGTTTAATACGAAAATTTGCAACATTTAATACATAAATATATTCTCCAGAAATTTATCTGTATTATTATCAAAATTTTCGATAATATATTATGCATTATTTGGATCAGCAATTATGATTTCATTGAAATTCTATTCCTATCTATCCTATTTTATCTTTATTTGATATATGTAGTTTATTTCAATTAATTAAATCTTTTTTTTATTATGTATTCGTTTCATTTTCTAATAAAGAGTTTTTTTATGGTCAAATTGAGGCATTTGATTTGAGGATGTCAATCACAAAGCGATATACTTTAGAATTCGCATAGAAAATTTTTTGGAATCTAATTGGGATCTGATTCGACTTCCTCCTCCCTCTCCCTCAAAATTGTGAATTCTAGTTGGAAAATCTATGAAGATTCCAATAAAAAATGTTATGTTTTGTAAACGCGATTCTAAATAGAAGATCCAAACAGATCCTAATTAGAAAATTCAAACAGATCCCAATTAGAAAATCCAAACAGATCCCATTTATTTTTTCCAATATTTGTTTCAACTCTTTTTTGTTTTTATTATATATTATAATAAGTAAAATATTTGAAGCACTTTGAACGTGTATAAGCGTGGACAGAACGGTTGCAGCACTTTTTTTTTCAATATAGCCTGTATATCGAGCGATTGATTCTTACTTATGGATCTATAGATAAGAACCAATCAATCGCTCGACGAGATTGCATTCCGAAACCCATTGAAAGAAAGTGCTGCAACCGTTCTGTCCACAACTGTATATTTCATAAGTATAAATATTCTAGAAATATAAATATATATTCAAAGCATTTCAAGTATTTTTAAAATAAATAAACGATTTAAATAGAACATATATTGTTATTGTGAACATAAATCATTGTATGTAGTTTAAAAATTAAAATTAAGAATAAAAAGTTATAATATTTATATGTTAAATATATATATAATTATTAGTAATAATAATCAATATTAGATGATCATTCCAATCTCTGGCATTTGCAAATGCCTGCTCTTAAAACTGTATGAAAATTTTTTTCATCAATTAATCTTTTTTCCGTGATAGTATGTGTTCTCATTATAACATCTATAATAATATATGTAGAAAAATTAACAATATTTCCTATTTTTTATATAAAATGTTTTTAGAAGAAAATTGTATTTATACCTTTTATATTTTTGTAAGTATTAGTAGAGTTTAAGAATCAATCGATCGCTAGATTTTTTTGTAGTGAATTGTAAGGCTAAATCACATGTAAAAATTTTTCTAAGTATTGCATGAATACTTTTCGTTGGATTGTTAATATTTCGATCCAAGCAATTACTTATAAATTCAATGAAAAAAGAAATATATATATTTACACGATAAAAGAATTATTGCTTTGATATTTTATACAGGGATACAGGATTCATATATATACAATAAAGTGACCGATTTAATTATTAGCGAAGTTTGAAGACATATGGAAAAATGATTTATACTAACATGTTCAATATAAAGAGGGACATCACAGAAAGGAACAATGGAAATGATTATTTTACGGATGGACGCGTTGGGGACATTTCAAGGTGAATTTCATTTTTTTAAATGGAATGTTATATTTTTTATTACATTGTATGAAGCCCTTTTTAAGACAAATTCATTGATATATAATATTACATAAGGACTTTTAAGATTTTATTTAAGATTTTCCTAAAAAGTGCCCGAGGGTCTCCACTCTCCCCTATTTTAAATAAATTTATTTCAGAAATATATCCCAGCCAAGGTAATATTTTTCACAATAAATTCTTTACAGATTTTTCTTTTTGCTTTTAATTAAATTTTAATTAAATTTAGCGGAATTATTAATATTTTAGATTGATTGGGTTGAAAGTTCGA